GGTCTTAAAACAATATTATTGTTTATCGCAATAATTTTTTAGACAATTAATCGTCCAGCAAAATTTGTTATCGTGATAGGCCTAGCAATAACACAGTCATAACAGACTGTTTGCAATGCAAAACTTACTTTATCATACTATGGTATAACATTTCAAGTGCTGTGCATTAAACTGTTTGCTGATTATTATATGGCTTTATTTGCTTTATCTGCCCACATCTTATCTAGAGTTCAGAGGGCAACATCCTAAAGAGTTGTGGGGACACTGTGATGATAGAACCAACAGATGAGTGAGGAAGATGTGGATTAATAGCAAATAAAAATCACCATTATAATATTCAAAAATATGCTAGGTTCTTTTAAGATTGTGTAGTACTAACATAAAAATGCAATCAATTATCAACTGAAAGTAATATTTTAATTGCTCACAACCTCTCAACAGAACCAGCTAGAACCAACTGTCCATTCAGGAATCTTTCTCCAATCACCAAGTCTGTCTTAGAAAATAAGATTTTATTTTATTTTTTTATAATTGCCCATATTTCTTTTTCTTGCTTATGATATGATATGAAAAAATATGTATGGTCATTGTTGGGAGTAACTGTTTCACATTATTAATATAATATAGTAATTCAAAAAACAGCATACACTACATTGATTATTAAAACCTAACTACTGTATTTTGAGAGGGAAAACTGTTTTTCAGTCCTGCAAAAAACATGTTTTTTCATGGAAGTGATGTCAGCCTTATTTTGAGAATTACACAATTTCCCATACAACTGGAATATTTTTTGAAGATGTGATTTATTTTTCACAAATAATTTTATAATAATAAAAAGCAATCTACATGAACAATAGAACTGTGATTTAAAGTGAAATTATTCCAACTTTTTGAGCAACAGCAGATCAATTAAATGAAAATACTTTATCTTTTATTATTTATGAACACCACAGAGCATCATTATTTGACCAAAATCCTTCTCTACAAGAACCAGTCCTCCTCATATAGACATAAATAAGTTTGATCAAATTTCTCTGTCAAAGCTGCATGGATTGTGTACTTTGTTGTTGAGTTCTGAGCATTTTGCCCTGAAAAAGCCCAAATGGAATGCCATGGTCTGTTAGGGGTGTTGTCGTTGTTTCCAATTTTCCACTTTTACAGTTGGGCAGAGCTCAACCACAGTACGTGACACGGGAGACTGATTCGTCAGAGAGTGTGAGAGTCTGTAGCCAGCAGGACTGGCATCACTGCTCTGCTTCCCTGCCTTTGATTTGCTGAGTGAAATTCGCTCCATTAAACCTGGTTGTAAAAAGCTGATGTGTTCAGACTTGAAACACAGGGAGGGAGAGCTGAGATCTATGTGGAAGGTAAAGTGAGATAACAGTAGCAGACTGCTAATTCTAGCACTGCTGCAGCCTAAGACAATATGTCTGTGTGCGGGGGTGTGCATGCAGGTGCGTGTGTGTGTGTATTAACACTTGTGGGGGTGGTTGCGAAGGACCATAGCCTGATTAAAATCTTATGAGTATCAGTCATTATTGCAATTATAAAACAAAGAGGATTCTTGCAGAATGTCACTCAGAGCAGCTTGCAAAGGGAATCTAAACTGATAGAATGCAGAAATGTTGATGTAAAATGAGATATGGAGGCAAAAGGCTTTTCAGAAAGAGACAAACACACCTACATGAACTGTACACTCACTTTTTCATAGTATTTGATTTCATATTCGGTGATGACGCCGTTGGGTTGCTGCGGCTCCTGCCAGGACAGCTGGATGCTGCGCTGCTGCACATTCTCCTTGATGACCTCACTGACCTGAGACGGAGCTGTTTGGAAAAGAACATGTCAATAAGTGGCTGGCAAACCCCCTGAGCACACACACACACGCATACACAAATTAGCCCCACAGAAGCCTTTTCATCAACACTCGGCCCCCATGAGCCAATGAATATTCACGGAAACACCTCAAAAATGTTTACACCCTTAGGTCCAAATTTCAATTACAGAGCAAACATTATCCCAGCCAGCGGAAAAGTACAACATGTAAATCATAAAGACAATTCACTTAATTAATTCCAGTGAAACAAGCAGACCCTTCTTCTTCTTGATGACGCAGCTCGTCAGAAAGGTTTGTATCTGGAACGTCCTGACACCAGTCTCATGTACACCAATTACCTCAGGCTCTTTGCATGACTCATTTTAAGTGTCTATCTGGATTAAGTACTATGATATTTAGGTTTGCTAAACTGGCACAGGGGCAGTTTTTTTGCTTGAAGAAATCATATGAAGTTAAAAACTTTGTGTAGACAAGGCTAAAAATTACATTTCTGCCATGGTGTGTGTCTTCTTTAACTACCTCTGAGGATGCTACAGTATCAACCGCTAGCTCTCCTGTAATTACTGCTCTGTTGGTGTTTTCTCTGGACACAGTCCTACAGGACCGTCTTACTGATACATGGTTTTTCTGGTACTCTTTGGGCAACAGCAGCTAGTTTTTAACTGGTCTCCAGAACTTAAAAATTTGGGACACAGATTTTTTTTTTAAAGATACAGTCTTTATTTTAAACTTTTGTCAGAGACTGTACCAAACTTTTTCTGTAGTCAGCACTCACTGTCCTGTAGAGAATGAAAAGGTATTTCAGCCTCAGGAGATTTTCTTCCCTAAGCTGTAAAAGTCACCTGTTGTGTAGTTGGGAGGTTCATAAATCACACAAATCTTCCTCCACCATTCCAGAACATCATTAATTATTGTTATCCTGGTAATCACCATCAAGTTAAAACCAAAATTTTAAAATGAGTACTAAAATACGCCAGGAGCCAATGCAGGGAGGCCAGAACAGGAGTTATCTGATCTGTTATGTAGGTTCTAGTTAAAAGTCTCGCTGTAGCATTTTGCACAGACTGAAGGGAAGTCATGGAGGATTTACTTAGACCCACAAAAAGGGTCTAAGCATTTATTTCTTCTAAACGAGAAGAAATAAATTCATGGACAGTCGTTTCTAATTCCTTCTGTGATAAAATAGCTCGCAGCTTCGAAATATTCCTTAAATGGTAAAAACAGTTGCGAATTAACAGTTTGCAATGATTGTCCAAAGACAAACAACTGTCAAAGAGAAAACCCAGATTTCTGAGGCTATTTTTATTCAAAGGGTTTAAAAACCCAAGATGCTTCCTGATTTCTGTGATTTTATCATCAAGAGCTACGATAAGCGTCTCAGTCCTGCCTGCATTTAACTGCAGGTGGTTGTCATTCAGCCAAATGTTAATGTCAGACAGGCAGTTACTGAGTTCAGTCAATTTATAAAATTCAGAGGATCTCTTATCATCAGCATACGCGTGATAAGAGACATTACTGTAGCGATTTAGAATAAAACCTATTGGGCGTATGTACAGTAAAAAGAGGAGTGGGCCCAAAACTAAACCTTGGGGCATCCCACAGGACAGCTGAGCAACATCATAAGGCTTAGGGTTGGGCGTCAATTAAATTTAAATTATTCCGATTCCTCATTTCCATTCTGCATCTTAAAGATTCCTGATTCCGATTCTATTGAGTCAAAAAAAGTCTACATGGTTTAAATGAGCTATAGATTCTGGATAAAATACGTCTCAACTTCTCAATTTTATTATTATTATTATTATTATTATTATTATTATTATTATTATTAAAGCTAAGCTTTTTTACTTTACTATGCTTTATTAAGCTTTACTATGCAATTTTTTCACAGAACTAGTTCCAACTATATAAAGATCATACATATGTACTTAGACCTGTCACGATAACAAATTTTGCTGAGCGATTAATTGTCTAAAAAATTATTGCAATAAACGATAATATTGTTTCAAGACCT